TTCTTGAGGATCTTGAAGATCTAGACTCAAAAGATGAGATTTGTGGATGAATTCAAAAGTGAATCAAGAAGGAGAGGTGTATTAACTCAAAAAGGGAAGGAAACACTTACATTTTCGGGGATTTGCAAGAAGATCCTATGATACTTGAAAGAGTTTTCGAGATTCTAGGCTTGAAATGGAAGAAATGATCAAAAATTATCATGAAATATGCATATAGGAGGGAGTTTACGATCACCCTGACCGTAAACTCAAGGGTCCTGACCGTAAGCTCCTTTTGAGGAGGTTTACGGTTTGCTAGATGGTTTGGAACTTTAACCGACAAATCCAAACACTGGTTCCTTTGATGAACTAGGCTCAGAATGATCAAACAGACTCTAAACAGTGCTAAGAGTTAGCAGAGACAAGTCTGACTTTAACTGAATTGAATGGTTGTACAAGATAGAAATTTCGGGTTGTCACAATATAACAGTGAAAGCATATAACAAATTTTCTAGTCAAATGTTCAACTAACCTAAAAGGATCCTACAATTCATTCTATAATTGCAACTACACGATGAATAAGAAAAAACATACCTCTTTGTTGGTTAATAATCTTCTAACTAGATATCTTGTTCTTTCTACCTTTTCTTGGATGCCAAGGATCCAAAGTAGAATCCCTCTAATGGAATCACACCCAAGAACACCACTTGAACAATGTCACAAACCCTACGAGATGGGAGAGGAAAACCAAAATCTATAAACCTTAAAAGGGTTTATTTTCGTCTACTTCAAGGAGATCAATGGGAGGCCGAATTTCTAAGGGTTAGGAGCCTCTAGGGTTTAATCCCTAGCTGGATTTATAGGCTCCTAGTTCCTTAGAGCCAAAGCAATTGCCTTATTGTTGAATTCGCCCCTAGATTGTTTCTATTAATTAAATTCTTTTAATTAATTAACATCAATCCTTATAATTAATTAACTTCTAATTAATTTATCAAAACATTATAAATTAATAAACTAATTTCTCCTAAACCTTTTTTGTCTTTTCATTGCTTAAATGGGTCTTAAAGGCAATCCAAAAGGACCTTGTTCTTATTAGAAATATTACCAATAGTTATGAGCTTGGACATTCTTTCCAACAGTATACCACTTAGACATGTAATTAACTATACGAAATCTAATACTTTCTTATAATTAACAGAGAGTATGTCATCCAATACGACTGCCGAATTCTGATCAAATCAAGATTTAACCCGTAGATATGAAATCAATTATTCCTTTGTTATATAAGATATCTATATGAACCTGAGACATTGATAAGTATCAATCTCAGTGTTCAAAATTATGTTTCCTGATAAAGATTTTTACTAACCACATCAGACCTACTAAATTGATCACATCAATTTCAGTCACGACTCGACCAAGCACTTTAGATGTCAGCACCAAATCATCGAGGGTCTTACAGATACCGCTTCTCCTATTAGGATAGAAGGAATAAATGAACTTTTACTACATAGTTTATGTCTACTCATTATGTCAGGTGTGGACATACTTTGTATTATTGACAGTTACGAACAACGTTGGAACAGACCAATGCATAACATATTTGTAAAGCAAAAATCTCATGTATCTATGTTTGATGAATAAGAGATATTATCATCTTAGAATTACTCGTGACTTTATCCATGAAGTATCTCTAAGTGCGGGTTGTTCTATTACTTAAGTCCTCATTAAGTAATCATGAGTGTTAGTCATAGTCTCTATGTTATGTCCAGTTATCATAGACAATCTGCTAATACTCTATAACAATCTTAAATCACTAGTAACTTCCAAGAGTATGATCGACTGTGGAGATTTGAGTAAATTAATACTCGGGGAGTGGTTCTAAACATGCAAAACGAAACACAATAATAAATTAACACAAAATGGTAGCAAATCAGCTTATTATTAAGTCACCACAAAATAATCACCAAATCAGTTACAATTTATAAAGTATACGTTTCAAAATATCTAACGTTGATATTACTCATTATGCTTCTCATGCCTAACGGCAACACCTGCTTTTTCCCGCACGCAATAGAATTTTTTTCAAAATTTTTGTTACCTATTGTACCACTACGTAAAAACCAGGCAAGTACATGAAAAAATTGGCAACTACGAAAAAAAAAGTGTCACTCTATTGGATCAACCAAGCCCAAATAATTTGTAGCACAATACTTTCAATTAAATCCTATTAATTTTAGCCCAAAAAAAAGGGAGGGAGAAATAGTCCAATGGAATTTGGATTATTGGATAATTGGACTTGGATTGATCCGATCGGCAGGAAAAAAACGAGGTCACAAGGACCTCCTATGTTTGCTCATCACATCATGTCGACTTCCTAGCTTCGCTGCTTCCATCACTGAATCCTTCAATCCTTCTCATCTTCTACTGGCCTAAGTAGCAAAAATTGAATCCCAATTGCATTCCTCAATTCGACTCCAAGCAAAAATCGAAGCCCTAGCCTAAGAATGAAGCAAGTGAGTATTATTGATACTTTGAAATTTTACCAATTTGTTTAGGTTTTTCGATATTGCTATGTTTTTATCTTGACTTGATCTAATCGCTCATCACATCATGATCGGTTATCTTGACTTGATCTAATTGCTATGTTTTTATTGAAATTTTACCAATTTGTTTAGGTGGTTCGAAAAAAAAATGGTATGATCTTTTAATGACTATTTCGAACCACCCATACTACGAGTGTTTTCACATGTATTCTAGGGTCTAAAGTGAAGAAGTATAAGACTTTAGCCCTCTTACACATGACTTTTAAAGCATCTAAACTAAATGAACTTGTAGGAATTAGCACGAAGAGAAGTACATTTAGACTTGACTTTAGTATTATAAATTGTTGTATATATGTATATATGTATTGCTTCCCTATCGCACACACATTTAGACATGACTTTAGAAATTTGTTGTTATTTTTAGAAAGAAGCTAAAGTTTTGTCTATTTGCTTTCAAATAATTAACAAAAGTGACTATTTTTTAGACATTTTTTCAAAATAATAAACCCATAAACGATTATTCATTATATATGCCCATCTCAAGTATAACATAACTAAGTAACTAACCCGGTTAATTCTTGAATGCTTATTCAAATACGAGTATTTATTTATGTAACATGTATCAACTATCAATCAACTAATCAACTAATACTAATAAAAAGTGTACTCTGCCTAAAGGCAAAAACTATAAATGAGCTGATCTCACAGCTTTTTCTCGCCATATTTATTCACACGCCATTAACATATGGCCAGGCGGAGAAGGGGCGGAGGAGGAGGAGGAGGAGACTCGCGGAAACCAACACCTTCCGAGCAGCAGTCTCAGCCTCAGACTGGCAAGAAAGCCCAACAGAAACGAGAGAAAGAGAAAGCGAAAGAGAAAGAAAAGGAGAAAGACAATGAGAAAGAGAAAAAATCCCAGGATTTCAATGATGCTAGTAATCTTAAGAAATTAAAAAGGGAGAAGAAGAATTGGTCATGTATAGACAGTTGTTGTTGGTTCATCGGATCTATTTGTTCGATTTGGTGGTTTTTACTTTTTCTATACAATGCGATGCCGGCATCGTTCCCGGAGTACGTCACCACCGCTATAACGGGGAAAATACCCGACCCGCCGGGTGTCAAATTGCAGAAAGAAGGATTGAAAGCCAAGCATCCGGTGGTTTTCGTTCCCGGCATTGTCACCGGTGGGCTTGAATTGTGGGAAGGCCATCCCTGTATGGATGGATTGTTCAGAAAAAGGCTTTGGGGTGGCACCTTCGGCGAACTCTACAAGAGGTAAATCTACTATACTCACTACTCTATATCTTACATCTTCAACCTTCAATCAATTAGTCAATTACCCCTACCATTGCCTTTTCGTTTCTTCATCAATCGAGTGTAATCACATTACTGTTTGTTTAATTGGAACATTTGTTTCATTCAGGCCATTGTGTTGGGTAGAACACATGTCACTGGACAACGAAACTGGGCTAGATCCACCTGGTATAAGAATCAGACCTGTTTCTGGACTTGTAGCAGCTGATTACTTTGCTGCAGGCTATTTCGTATGGGCTGTTCTTATAGCCAATCTTGCTAGCATCGGATATGAAGAAAAGAACATGTACATGGCAGCTTATGATTGGAGACTCTCCTTTCAAAACACAGAGGTAAGAGATCAAACCCTAAGCAGGATGAAGAGCAATATAGAACTCATGGTGGCTACAAGCGGTGAAAAGGTGGTTGTCATCCCACATTCCATGGGCACTCTCTACTTCTTACATTTCATGAAATGGGCTGAAGCACCACCACCATTAGGTGGTGGTGGTGGTGGCGACTGGTGTGCTAAACACATAAAGGTTGTGATGAACATCGGTGGACCATTGTTAGGGCTTCCAAAGATAGTTGCAGGTTTGTTTTCAGCTGAAGCAAAAGACATTGCTGTTGCTAGAGCTGTTGCTCCTGGTGTTCTTGATAAAGATATATTCGGTTTCCAAACTTTACAACATGCAATGAGAATGACACGAACATGGGATTCAACAATGTCACTGATTCCAAAAGGTGGGGATACTATTTGGGGGACACTCGATTGGGCTCCTGAACATGGCCATGATTGTTCCACCATGAAAGTCAAACCCAATGATACTCTCCCTCCAAAAGATCAAAACAAAAAAGGAAATTTTCATGCTTCAAAAGTTAATTATGGAAGAATCATATCATTCGGAAAGGAGTTTGCTGCTTTGCATTCATCAAAGATTGACCGTGTTGACTTCAAGGTAACTTTTTTTTTTCTAACTTAATCAGATCTCATCTGACTCAATCAGCAAACAGGTTATATAATTTTGGGATATGTAGGATGCTAAAAAAGGGTATAACTTTGGAAACACAACATGTCGGGATGCATGGAATGAGTATCATGACATGGGAATCCCAGGAGTTGAAGCAATTCTTGATTACAAAGTTTATACAGTGGAATCAGTTTTGGATCTTTTACAATTTGTGGCTCCAAGAATGATGAAACGTGGTAGTGCTCATTATTCATATGGAATTGCTGACAATTTAGACGATCAAAAATACCAACATTATAAATACTGGTCCAATCCCTTGGAAACCAGGTGATGTGATGAATCTAATTACCTTTTTACCCTTTTGTAATTTAAAAACTGAATCTTTATGTGATCGAGGGATTACATTGCAGATTACCGGATGCACCTGAGATGGAGATATTTGCGATGTATGGAGTGGGATTAGCGACAGAACGAGCGTATATTTACAAATTTACCCCTGGAGCGGATCAATGCTACATTCCATTCCAGATTGATACATCTGCAGATGGTGGAATTGAGGAGAGTTGTTTAAAAAGTGGGGTTTTTTCAGTTGATGGAGATGAAACAGTTCCTAGTTTAAGTGCAGGATTTATGTGTGCAAAAGGGTGGAGAGGGAAAACACGATTTAATCCTTCTGGAATTCAGACATATGTACGAGAATACGATCATGCGCCTCCTGCGACGCTTCTAGAAGGGAGAGGGACACAGAGTGGGGCCCATGTTGATATAATGGGGAATTTTGCATTAATTGAGGATATTATAAGAGTGGCGGCTGGTGCTAATGGGAAAGATTTGGGAGGAGATCGGGTTTATTCTGATATTTTCAAGTGGTCTGAAAGGATTAAGTTACAGTTATAGAATCCCAACTTAAATTTTGTAGGTGATATAAAATTTGGATATTGTTTAGTGAAGTACAAAAAGAATTTTAATAAACAGACAACAAAACAAAAGTTTTTAATTTTTCGTATATAGTCCTTTTGAAAAACTTAATAAGAAAAGAAAATCTTATACAACAATATATAGTTAATTAATAGTGGGACCAGAAAGAGCAATGGGTAAAGCCTAATTACAAAATGGTCAATTTTGCATAGTTCTCTCTATCGTTTCTTGTTGATTTAGTTGCGGATTTTCTTATGTTTTGTTTACTACTCTTTGAAAAGATTCACATATAATTTAAAAATATATATATATATATATATATATATATATCTACTTTTATTATAGATTAAATATGTAAATTATATAGTTATAAAACGGAAAATGTTTATTAAAGAATTCATGTAGTTTTTAGTCACTTAACTTTTCTGGATATTATATTTTAGTTATTATATTTCTTTTAAGCTATTATTAGTTATTGAACATTTTTTTATTTTTTTCATTTTATTCACTCCATCCGGTAATAGCTGGTGTAAGTGACTTGTTAACATGGAACAATGTCGTTTAGTCCTTGAACTTTTCTAGATGTTTTATTTTAGTCATTATATTTTGTTTAAGTTATCATTAGTCATTGAATTCGTTTAAAAATATTATTTTAGTCATTTTTTTTCTTATCATTTATGAAAATAATATATTAAAAAAAACTAAATATTGTTTTTTCATATTCTTTTCTCCGCAACTAAACCTCTCATGCTAATTATTTTAGAGTAAATTATACAAATGATTTGTGTGATTTTGGGATATTCTACGCATGCAGTCCTTAACTTTTTTAACTCGGATGATCTAGATGACTTAAAAAGACTAATTCTATCTCCTTCACCCATCAATTTTGTCGTCAGAAGAAACACACTCAATCATCGTTAATAATTAGTTCCACTTTGACATCCTCTATCCTTTGCATGATGTCTAGAACGTTGATGTCATCTTGATTCTTTCCTTATATGTATTCCTAGAACAAGACGTAGACATGTTGGTGATTTTGCATGCATTTCCTTAGGTGCTGACCTATAAGCCATCATGGCAAAAAAAAATCGGTCATCTTATTAAGTTATGAGCTACCATTGGTTATAGTGATTAAAATGAAATTTTTAAATAAGTTTAGTAACTAATAGCAGCTAAATCAAAGCATAATGATTAATTATAACCTTGACGACATCGTTCCATGTCACGTCACTTACACCGATTATCACCGGTAGAAGTGGTTAATGAAAAATATAAACAAATTCAATAACTAATGATAGCTTAAATGACTAAAATAAAACACCTTAAGAAGTGCAATCTTTAAAAATGACCAAAATCCAAATGACGTATTATAGTTGATAAATGTACGTATGGTTGCATTACTATTATAATGTTACATACGATTTAAGATTGACAAAAAATATATATAATGATTAAATAAAATTCCTAAAGAGTTGACTATATCAAAGTCTCGATTTTATTATAATATTTATCGACTATGTACGAAAATTTCCACAAAAGATAAAAAGAACAGTAGATGCACATTGGCTTATATGGAGGGCCGACCACTCTCGTTTGCGTGTCTGTTAGTTTTCTCCAACAATTCTCTGTGGCACACTACGTCATATTTCTTTTCTACAAACACTCGAAGTATTTATTTATTTATTTTTTTGGTAAAAGAAATAGTTATCCATGACTATATAAAGTGCAATAAAATCATCGTATTATTTATTTATTTTTTAGATTTTAATAAAATATCTACTAGAACCGCAAGTAAGTAAGTGGACGATAAACATTCACGGGCACAATTTATTCTTCGCCGTTATTATTTGAGTAGATTCAAGTATTCAACTATACCTACAAAATGAAAATCGCTAAGCAAAGAGACAATTTTTGCTTCGTAAGAGCATCTAAAATTGCATTACACTTATTAGAGTTTAATGGATTGACAAAATTATCATTTTACTTGCTATACAACTCTATATTAATTTTCTTACAATGCATTGAACTCAATAGAGTTCAATGAAATATATATTTAATAGTTAAAAGGTTTTTTTTTTTCGATTGAAGAGTTTAATGGTCATTGAACTCCATATCCATTGAATGTCAACATGACATCCCATAATGATAAAGTTTAATCCATTGAATGTCAATTAGGTATGTCACCTCATTCAACTCTCTCATTGAACTATGCATTGTGGATACTCTAAGTACTTATGTTTTACATGTTCTCAGCAAAACATACAGCCATGTATACAACATATAGGTATTATATGTATATAAACTTAGAAAAGAGAATTATAAAAATAGTCATTTTAATGACTTTTCATTTTATAGCAAAAAATTAGTCTTTAGTCAAAAATAGCCAATAACAGTAGATAAATAGGGAAAACTACGGTTTCAATAAGTCATCTACGGTCCAGTGAAAACCGATTTAAATGAAAAATATGGTTTTGGAACATTGGGCTATTGTTTCGGAGTTCATCTACTGTTTGAAGGCCCATTAGCCCATATGTAACACCTGGTTCTTGGTACGTATTCTTTTATTTAATTCTTTGAGCATTTTGCATTTTGGCCTTGGACT